CCTAACTTAAACCCAACGACAACAGTAAGCGGCGGTGACGTCACAAGGGCGCTTATGTCAGGCTAGGTTTCACGTTTTCAAGTTTCATTTATTAGGTATAGCCCTGTGAGCCATGCGGCTCTTAAGTCGGGTGCAACCGCAACAAACAAATTTGAACAAAGAACATCTTAAAGCGACAACGCGTAAGAGAAACATCCTGGAATAAACCAGCAAATATTCCACACAAAAAAAAATTAAAACGCTGTGTGCAAAAATCGTGTGGTGCAAGCCAACAACAACCATAAGACAATTTAGATTAACCATGTTTTCGAATCACCAAAATATAGCTAGCAAAACAATGTTTGTTTCCCTTCTACGTGACTTTACGAAAGAACCAAGAATATAATGTAACAACAGTAGTCATAGGAACTGTGATTTTAAATTTTACAATAAACGATATACATAACACGTACGACAAAAAACTGCAGCCATAGCTGGCAGCACGACACTTCCAGTGTATGATGTGTGAGTGAGTCAGCAGCAGCGTGAGTGAGTGTATGATGTGCGAGTCAGCGTATGATGTGTGAGTGAGTGTATGATGTGTGAGCGAGTCAGCAGCAGCGTGAGTGAGTGTATGATGTGTGAGTCAGCAGCAGCTTGAGTGAGTGTATGATGTGCGAGTGAGTGAGGGTATGATGTGTGAGCGAGTCAGCAGCAGCGTGAGTGAGTGTATGATGTGTGAGTGAGTGAGTGTATGATGTGTGAGTGAGTGTATGATGTGTGAGCGAGTCAGCGGCAGTGTGACTGAGTGTATGATGTGTGAGTCAGCGCACGATGTGTTAGTCAGCGCATGATGAGTGAGTCAGTGTATGATGTGTGAGCGAGTCAGCAGCAGCCTGAGTGAGTGTATGATGTGTGAGTCAGCGCACGATGTGTTAGTCAGCGCATGATGAGTGAGTGTATGATGTGTGAGTGAGTCAGCGGCAGTGTGAGTGAGTGTATGATGTGTGAGTCAGCAGCAGCGTGAGTGAGTGTATGATGTGTGAGTCAGCAGCAGCGTGAGTGAGTTTATGATGTGTGAGTCAGCAGCAGCGTGAGTGAGTGTATGATGTGTGAGTGAGTGTATGATGTGTGAGCGAGTCAGCGGCAGTGTGACTGAGTGTATGATGTGTGAGTCAGCGCACGATGTGTTAGTCAGCGCATGATGAGTGAGTCAGTGTATGATGTGTGAGTCAGCAGCAGCGTGAGTGAGTGTATGATGTGTGAGTCAGCAGCAGCGTGAGTGAGTTTATGATGTGTGAGTCAGCAGCAGCGTGAGTGAGTGTATGATGTGTGAGTGAGTGTATGATGTGTGAGCGAGTCAGCGGCAGTGTGAGTGAGTGTATGCTGTGCGATTGAGCCAGCATACGATGAGTGAACCTGCGTATGATGAGTGAATGGGTCAGTGGTTGTGCGAGTGTATGATGTGTGAGTAAGCGCATGATGAGCGAGACAGTGCATGATGTGTGAGTGAGTCAGTGCATAGTGTGAGTGAGTAAATGTATGATGTGTGAGAAAGTCTAGGTGCACGTTCGCAACGAGTGGGGCGCTGGGCGGCTAAAATACGGCAAGTTGGCGCAGTGGGGGGCACGGCTGGTGCATCTGCCAGTCAACCCTGTCAACCCATGGCACCTGGATCTGTCCCGTGACCTGTCAAGGAGTCTTCGACACTTCACGTGGCCTCGGAGTGCACCTGGCCTGGCACATGCGCCTTGGTGACATCACCATATTACGTGAAGTGTGGAAGGCTGGCTGCTGGCAGGCGGTCATTGGGAAAACCCAAGTGTTATCGCTTGACTGACCGAGATGACTGACAGATGCGCCACACGTGCTCTCTGTGCCACCTCACTGCGTTTAAGCCGACCCGCACTCCGCTCGTTGTTGTGAGCATCGCTCTTTCGCCCTCCGCTTTTGTTGGAAGGCGACTGCCTCCAACTGCTCAGTAGCGGTCTTCAAGCGCTTCCTCCATAGAGGCCGATCTTGACACCACTGGTACCAGTTATTGACAAGTCCACTTAGCTCCACAACCATCTGTACCACACCAAATAAACTCTCCAGCCCGTGCCATGCTCGTTAGCCCCCATTATGGGCATACGGAGAAAGCACAAAATAAACCGTGCCAGTTATGTAGATATGTTGTCTGACATGAATTGTGTTGGCGTCAAAGTGCACCTAGCCTGGCACAAGCGCCGTGATGATGTGTGGCATGTCCAACACGTTTTGTTGGATGTTTGGACGTCCATCATAGTGGATGTGTTGGTGTCTAGCATATCTGGCATGTCGATCATAATTGGTTGTTGGGCGTGTTAATAAAAAGGTACGTTTCTAACTCATGACAGTTTATTTTAATTACGAGTAACCTGTATCACAACATAAGTATGGTAAAGTCACGTAGAATGGAAATAAAATAATGAAATTAAATAATACAATTCTCACGACGTTTCGGCCACAACACAAGTGGCCTTCTTCAGGTGAAGAAACAGGTCTATCAAGAAGACAGAACTTGAATGAACGCTGTTAAGCAAGGACTGTGTCTTTTGAAACTGTGTGGGCGGAGTTTAATTAGCATGTTACACGCCCCACCTCCGGAACGGGGGAGGGAGGGGGCTGGGAACAAAAAGAGTTATGTTAAACATTACAATGTTATACTATTAATTATTATACTACATGTTATAAACCATACCATTAACCGTGGTGTGAGAGGTATTAAGAGTCAATGCCAGCGAAAGGGCTGCGATCTGAAGGTCACCGTAAGATACAATCAATTAAGAACCGAAATGGTTTAAAACATCTTTCCAATGGTTACTAAGCCAGAATCCATCTTCTCGGTTGAAATTGTCTCTGTGTTTGTATATGTGGATGGCCTCATGAACGAATCTCTCATGGTAGCCGGATGGCTTGCAAAGAACCTCCGTCTTGGAGAAGTCAATGTCATGTGAGCCCACTGAATTATAACAGTGATCTGGCATGGCTGAGGTGTTCGTCCTACCGTGTTTCAAGTCTGCTTTATGTTCGCGGATGCGGTCCGAGATATGTCGTTTGGTTTCTCCAATGTAGCTACTACCACAGAGGCACTTTAGTTTGTAAACGCCCGGGTACTGTATGTCTGGAACCACATCTTTTACAGATAGAACTAGATCACGGATTTTATGTACTGTGTTGAATCGGACCTGGATCTTGTGTTTATTCAGGATTTTGGAGATCTTTTTTGTGACCCCCGCAATGTAGGGTAAGGTGATGGTTTTGAATGGGTCCTCAAGAGGATCCTTCTTTATGACTGGAGTGATGGCTTTGCGGATTGTGTAGTCGGAGTAACCATGATAATTTAACTCCGCCCACACAGTTTCAAAAGACACAGTCTTTGCTTAACAGCGTTCATTCAAGTTCTGTCTTCTTGATAGACCTGTTTCTTCACCTGAAGAAGGCCACTTGTGTTGTGGCCGAAACGTCGTGAGAATTTTATTATCTTATTTCATTATTTTATTTCCATTCTACGTGACTTTACCAAAATAATCAAGAAGATGAATCCCTGCAGTCACGAAAGCGTTAAATTGAAATATAAGTATGGTATATATGATTTCATATTACCATATTTGTAGTGACGTAAATGGAGTCTTTCTTGGCGTTTAGCACCAGCTACTGTCACAAGAGTGGAACTGTGTGTCTTGAGCCTCTCTCTGGCACCAGAATAGGTACGGCATGGAAGCGGTTCTGGTGACATTCAGAGAGGGGGCAAGTAAGGACGTGACAGTCTGGGTGAACCCGAGAGGGCACGTGACCGGGACAGGGTAGCGAGGGGGCCCAAAGAGTGGCTTGAGGGACACGTGATGCTCGGTCGAGAACCTTTTGGTAAGATCCAGAAGGGAGCGTGGCCAAAGGCGGAGCGGGGCCACGCTTGGGAGCATAAAAAGGAAGTCCCGAGAGCAATCGCGGCTGTCTGTTGGAATGGAACCCGTCGGTGCTACGTCTCTTCGATCCTCGGTCTTTACGCTCGGCATCGTGGGTCAGGCAGTGTGGTAGCCAACTGACCCGGTTATGTAGCTACCCCGTTGGGGTCTTGTAATAAATGTGTTGCCTCCAAGTTCAAGTGTGTGCCTCCGTAGAACCCACTACATATTTAACAATTCTATATAACAAGTTATGCAAACACTACTTTCTGCCACTTCTTGCTCGTGAAGCATATTGACATCTACACTATCTATTTAAGGCACAAGGCTGAAGGACATCTTCACAATTCGGACAACTGCACGAGGATGCTGGTTGCAACTACCAGCGAAAAGTCGTGCAGAACCCAATTGTGGATTCCTCCCAACATACCGGTGCGCTGAAGCAGTAATACATTGGCACATTTGTTCACTTGACAACTTTATTCATTGGTTGTCGGGTGGAGGAGGGTATACGACACATTTTGCTGACGAGATCTGATCCAAAAATTCATTATGAATATTGGTTGCGAAGCCAATGTGCTATTACAGTATACGTTGTTTCTAAAACTGTGTATCAAGCAGTGGCTCATGATAAATCTAGTTTTAATTTGTGCTTGAACACCACTGATAATGCATCCCAATAACGTTTTGTTTGACGTTAATGCAGTAACATAATTTAGAACATACATTTGGATATTTTACCGATTTGTGCAGACATACATAGTATGTGTTTGGGGTTTTAACTAAACTGAAAAAGCTATGGTTTTATATAACGGTACAAATAGGAAATACCTGAAGTGGAGATGCTCCAAATCCCTCAGCTTCAGCTCAACTCTCAGTTCGGCTCCGGCTACAGTGACCCCAAATCCAACTCTGCTCCGGCTCCAATGAGGCCAGCTCGTTTGATTTTGGCTTGTGAGCACAACATAGACAACTGCCATGCTCTGCTCTGGGGCCTCAAAATCTTCCTGAGCTCTGGAGCCGGAGCCTCACCAACCATAATTCAGACTATGGACAGGTGCAGTGGTACAACATTAAATAAAAAGGCAGGAGATGTTTTTTTCATAAATGCAGTGTTTATTGTAACAGTATAATCTATTAATGCATTTACAAGTAGGGCCTCTTGAACATGTGTACTATAGTTACCATATTCCTCAACATTGAAATGACTACATGTGCAGTTATTGTGATTTAAAATATACGATTGTATTTGAGATATTTGGTTTTGACCATTAATTATGGAATCGCAATGGAATACTGCATTACTGAAGCAACAAAGTACTGTACATGACGTGCAATAAAAATAAATTTAATTACTTAAGTGGAATCCAACATACTGATATACTCACTTTAAATATATTAACTGTTATGTTTACTGTTTTAATCATATCTCTACAAATTAGACACTGTCAGATGCCAGGAACCTTTTTAGACAAATCGATAAATTACATCACACTCATTTGAAATTTAATAAGTTATAGAAAGTTGGTGTAAAGTATTTAAATACTTTTTAGTTGTGAATGTTTTTGAAAATCAAAGATTTGCCTGGAACTCGATATTAAATCATAGCGCAAACACAGTACTGGAAATATACGGTTAAATAGTATAGGCAGTACGTCAAAGTATACAATACATTGTATTGGTCGAAAGTACACCACTAACTACAACATTAGGTAGGAAAGAAAAAAAACGAGTATATTTTTTTATTGAGGACTACAGCACTGTACACGAATTTAATGACGAAGCAATCCTCATGTCCACAACCCAGCCACAGTGCTGCTGGGGAAGGTGGCATTGTGACCGTGCAGGGTGGTGGCGTTTAGCGATGAGCAGTAGAACATCTCCTGGCCATGTGTGCAGGTCTGTTGGTGCAGCAGGGCCATGACCAGCCCCACTCCCATGATAGCCATCCCGCACAACAGAAGGACGGCTGACAGCAATCGGTTTGGGTTGTACCACGGCTCGGATGAAAGGCGCAGGTAGCACGCCGCGGGCAGAATGAAGACCAGTGGCGAGGCACACAGCACGCCCTGTCCACGTGGACAAATGTCAGGCGCTTGGTCATGGCAATATGCTGTACAGCTCCATATGGAACTGCAGGGCGTCCCAAACCCATGTCCTCGTGTCCCATCATGGTCTGGCTCTCTCGTTTACAAAAATATCCACTCAGATACTATTAACGTATTTCGTCATACCTGTCTAATTGTTGGTAAGTATGCAAAGCTGGACCTCAGTAGCTTATGAGGAGTGCAGTTTGGGAAACCTTTAGTCAATGTGTATCTGTAAGTGATAGTTATGAAACGGGATTTGATGGTCTGCCATTTTATTGAACAATGTGTGCCCGAGTCCAATGTTGCACCAATAAGCGAACATTTTAAATGTGCTTCTAGCCATGAATGGTCCCATTTAACAGTACTGTAAAATCACTTGTATCTATGACCCTATTACCCAAAACTCCTGTGCAGTGAGGGAAAAAAGTATTTGATCCCCTGCTGATTTTGTACGTTTGCCCACTGACAAAGAAATGATCAGTCTATAATTTTAATGGTAGGTTTATTTGAACAGTGAGAGACAGAATAACAAAATCCAGAAAAACGCATGTCAAAAGTATTTGACCCCTTCTCAAGCAGAAAGATTTCTGGCTCCAAGGTGTCTTTTATACTTTTAAAATTATAGACTGATCATTTCTTTGTCAGTGGGCAAACGTTCAAAATCAGCAGGGGATCAAATACTTTTTTCCCTTACTGTAAGTAGAGCTGTATAGTCTGCAAAAACTCTGTGCCACCATTCTTCAAAATATCCAGGTTTATCTGTGATTTGCTCATGTATAAGTGGAGTCATTTGAAGAAAACAGCCCAGATAATAGAATCCGCAATGTTAATCCCCAACATCACCGAGGTTTTTTTCTGTGTATTGTATTTGTTAAACCTCACATTGAGCTCCAGCACAATGCCCAAGCAGTCTGTGGAGACGGAGGCAGCCGTGGCCGCTGCCACAATCACCACCGTGACGATGGTGTGTCGCACGCGGCTCCACGGGGCGGACGCAAAGAACACGTTCTCAAACACCTGGGGAAAGTCGCACATTGTCCATCCCTGCCTGGCACTGCAGAACGAACTGCGAGTTCCAAAGTAGTGGAGGTGTCCGAGGCACCACTGGTGGTTACATGGTTCTGTTTTGAATACAATGTGAAGTCAAAAAGTGCAAGTGTCTCCCAGCTCAATTCCCATGAGGGCACGAAGCCAATGGTGGAAATTTCGCATATAGCATGTGTGGGTCGGTCAATCCATAGGACACAACCACTGTTGACTTCCAACAATGTGGTACAGTAAAACCTTGGATTGCGAGCATAATTCGTTCCAGAAACGTGTTTGTAATCCAAAGCACTCGTATATCAAAGCACTCGTATATCAGTTGCGATCACGTGACGCTCGGCAGACAAAGCGTATACGTACTACTCGTATTGCAAGACCTCGCTCGTTTATCAAATTAATATTTATTAATTTTGCTCGTCTTGCAAAACACTCGCAGAGCACTCACACTTCTACAGGGAAGTTACCTTTACAGTCCTGTCCTAAACGTATTGTACCCCTTGCTTTCTCCTACCCCTCCCCCCACCTATGCTGCCGTGCCACCTTGCTCTCTTCGGCCCCTCCCCTCCACCTCTACTTTTTTATTTAAGGCCTCTGTCTGTTCATCCCTCTGGCCCTTTTTCTTTTTCCTTGCTTCTCTGTCCGTCTTTCCTCTCCTTGCCTCTTGGGTGTCTCTGTATATGTATTTCTGGTGACTTGTACCTCATATTTGTTCACTCTGTCTATGCTGGTATGTTCAATCCAGAGGATGAACACGAAATTTAGCACTCTTCTGAAATTCGTGGTCCGCCAGGCAAGTGTCTAACTGTGTTGTTGGCCTGATTGGTTTTGCATCACATAATTTTTTCTTAGGTTTGTTGATTCTCGTCTCTCATCTTCTTGTTGTATTTACCTCCGTGCAGTTTGGCGCTATGTGTTACGTTGGTGTCGCCCTATATGCTCCCTCGCTATTTGTTTTTTACACCTGATGAAGATCGCTTGTGTTGCGGTCGAAACGTCGTGATTGATTTATTTTAATATAATTTTATGGTATTTCTACATACGTGACTTTACCGAAAAATCAATGAGTAATTTATGCAGTCACGAAAGCTTTAATTCTTTATTACTGGCAGAGCAAGTTACTCGCAATCCAAGGTTTTACTGTACTTATTTCATTGACCTAATATGCAAGAAAGATGGTTGGCAAAGTTGACTTCCAACCAACATTTGGATTCGCCACCTCCTGATCGTGAGTACTCCGTCACAGCAGTGCCTGGGGTTATGTATAACGTCATAATCTATACATGTCTTAATATTGAGTGTCTGCAGTGAATGACATCTACATTAACAGCCCATTTTTGTCAATCCTCTGCTGGACGAGGGTCTCCCCAAGCCTTCTGGGCAGTGAGGGTTATTTGGCCGTAATTCACCACGCTGGTCAATGTGGGTTGGTGATGGTGAAGGGAGCACAGCGCAATAGACGTTGCTCCTGTGTCCTCTTGCTGACATCTATTTACACATCTTTATGCCTTGGTAGTGCTTCTGAGATGACAAGATCACGTACATTATGAGTGATTTGACATAGGCTTAAATGTGTAATTTTATTTATAGCTAAGTAAGCAGAAGTGGGTTTTGCTCTCTTTCTCTCAGCTTGTGTGACACTACAGAAGGCAAATTACTGGGCTAATTGACGATGGGGATCATATATATAAATATTTAGAATGAGCTTAAAGGAATGTAGAACTTTAGGCTGGCTGTGCCCTGTGAATGCAATCAATGAATCTCCAGGCCATAATTTTCAGGCTCTGATTTAAATTATGTTGATTTTTGGATTTTTCTAGCTAAAGGCATTGACTTGATAACTGTTTATTTGTGCTACAGTCCATCTTTACATTAATGTGAGAACACAATTATAATTCACAAGAGTAACTCACCAAATCACGAATGTCTATATGTTTCAGATGCTGTACAACAGCAAGTGTGTTATGCGTGCAAATATATAGACGTGAAAAGCTTACCTCTCTGGTAACAAAACACTCAATGGGAAATGTGAGTAGTATGCTCAGCGCGTAGCAGAAGCGGCCTGCTGTAACCAGGTCATCGTTTTTGCAGTAATTCTCGAAAATATCTCCTGTGGATGAAATGGGAGGACAAAAGCATACAATTTAGTAGCGGTTTTCCTCTGGGAATAAAAATCTATTCAAAATACTGCCTATTGAATTGTCATTTTTGGCACTTGACATACAAAATTATTTAAACTTAATTAGTTCTGGAAGAGGGTAAAAGCCATCGCAAGGTTTAGTGTCCATGATGACATCTTGATCTTGTTTCATTAGTTAAACAACTATAAATAAATGAATACTCTCAATGGATTATACCATTTGATAGCAATCATAGTATGCGGTACTCCATGCCGAATTTAACATGTACAATACGTTACCATGTTTCCTAGTTGCATTTTGTATATGTTAAGTTATAAGAGGGAATTAAATATCAATAAACAATGTGTCTGTTATCCTGCCTCAAACAGCAGCGTCTGCTTCTTAGTTGCACCTTCGTGACTAATTTAATAAACAAAAAAATGTGTTTCTGAGCCAGCGGCTTTTGTAAATGCCCAGCAGGAACATGTATCAATGTTGAAAGCTTTTAAGCAAAGTGTCTCTTTTGTGAAGCTCTGCCACTGAGTGCTTGGAATATAATTCTCTGTGTGGTCTACTTGCCCGCACCCATATCTTGTATTTCAAAAGAATGATTGAATGTAAAGTACAGAGCCCGAGAGTGGCACTAACACGACTGGTAGGTGTTCTCCAGTTTGCCGTGTGCTGGTGATGATTTGCCGCGATATCACGTTTGCGGCCGTTATGTTCACAATATCACCATTATCGTGATTAGTTTCAACAACTAAATAATTCATATTCTTAAACTAAATAATTGTATTTCACAGTTTTCGGATTGTTGTGCTTTGCCGTGCGTCCAGTCCTTCAACTGCAGTGCACACAAAATAAGCCTGCCTGCCATACGAGCTGTAATCATTGAGACTTTACTTTATATACATTATGCCTAGAACGCACATGCTGTTATTTACGCAGAATTGTGAAACAATTAATTTAACTATGACGTCATATAACGACTGTGCCGCCAATTGCGCCCAAACATATTTAGCAAAACAATGGGTCATATTTATGTATTTATTTACTGTGCTTTTATTTTGTTACAGGATTTCAGAAATACACCTGTAAGTTAATCAAATATGAAAACGGAAATAATTACACAACGATAATAATCACGATGTAACGCAGACAATACGGTTTTGTGGACCTTATACGGTATATTGTAGAATCTCTAGAGCTCCCTTCCCTCCACTGGAGGCCCTTGAGCAAGGAATTGCAGTGGTGCAGATGTACATGTAACCTTTTAAAATTCACATTTCAGATTTCTATTGACTATAATAATAATGTAATGTTTTTTTGCTTGAGACCACGTAAATATAGTTCGATATATATGGATGATATTAACAAGTAGGCTTTCGCGACCAATATCCATAATACAGGTTTTTTTTGGGTTAGATCGCGTAAATATATGTGTCGTTAAACCCGCCACCACCCGACACAGCCAATTAGTAAGGTTTGTCACGTAAACAGAACACGCCAAATCGTTACTAGTACAGCACACCGGTGTGTTGGAGAGAAAATAAATTACAACTATCTTCATCAGGCGACAGCCAAATCTGTCTGTCACATGATTAAGCTAGTTGGATATTGGTCACCAAATCTGGCTGTCGCCTGATGAAGCTATTTGTAATTACTGGTGAAACATTGTATTCAGATTGTAAATGTTGTGGCTTTGCTCTTCAACACACCGGTGTGCTATGGTATAAACATAAAAATAGACAAAATACTGTAAAAAGTTACTGGATTTACTGTACCGTACTTACCACTCCAAATCTCAAAGACTATGCATAGGGTGATGTACGTACTACGCTCTTATTTCAACAACTCGATGTGTTTGACGATCGCAGTATTTTCATGAAGTTGTATGTAGTGTATAATGTACTCTATATATTTACCACTGAATCAAGCATAGCTACTTTCGTCACGTACATTGTACCGATCGCCGGACTGCTTACAGCCTTTGGAGCGGTTTTACCGATTTGGAAGCAGCCAGATAATCGCGCGCCGGATAATCGATGATTAACTGTAGCTCTTTTTCAGAAGCGACCTGGCTACAAATGATAGCAACAGTGGCTTATCATGTGCTAATTTATAACACCCAAATACTCTAAAAGGCTTGTTTCTAAATGTGGAGGGAAAACCCGGAGGACAACATGTAACTCCAATATACAGGCATCAGGGTCGGGGCGCCAAAGTGGTGAGGTGCCACAGTGGTGAGATGTTAACTACCTCGCCTGGTATACAGGAGGCAGTGGGTTCGATCCCGACCCTGATTTGGAGTTTGTATGTTCTCCCTGTGGTCGCGTGGATTTTTCTCCGGGTCCTCCAGTTTTTCCCTCCACATTTAGAAACATGTGGTTAGAGTATTTTGCTGCTATACATTTCCACATAAGCCACTTTGTTGAGCTATCATTTGTGGTCAGGTTACTTTTGAAAAAGAGCTATACAACTCAGTGTGCCTTAACTGGTAACATAAAAATAGTTTCATTAAAATTTTTATCTGAAACGTAGTCGAATTATAGACGATGTTGTTGACTGGTGTGTCGAGTTTTTTTGTTATATGTGCTGCCAATGCAGCAGCATCAGCATCAGCAAATTATGTTAGACCAAATCTTGAACTTGGAGGTATAAATGAGTGACGTTCACGCAGTAACCATGGTCGTAGCAATAGAAGAGTGATACATGGTAGTATGGCTGTTTCGAGGCAACCCGAGCTGATAAGTGAATTTAATTGCACAGTACCTTGTGTGAATCCCGTGAACGTGGCATAACCACACGCCGCGAGGATAAGGCTGATGATGAGAGCGCTCAGCACCGACACGTGCGTCACACGGGACCAGTTGCTGAGTGAGGGCTGCTCCAGCGAGCCGTAGATGATGAAAGTGTTGTGGTGGCAAATGAAAGCTAAGTAGGGAATACCATGGAGAATACCACACGGTCATTACTCTCGCCTCTCCCAAGCACATAGCACAGGCAGCAGGTGAAGCGTTGAATGGAATAATGTACTGTAGATAGCTATCTCACAGGGACCAATTCAATGAAGTGCTACCCAAATACTGTAATGCTCTGTACAGGCAATTATTATGCTCTCATATACATAGATGGAATTCTTGGGACAATTATATTCGGATGTGCATTATACAGCCCTTTGTCATTCCACTGCTGGATGAGGGCCTCCCCATGCCATGTGGGTCGTGGAGTTATTATGCCATACTTCACCACGCTGGTCAGTGCGGATTAGTGTAGGCAGGCAGTATAGACATGGAAGCACATAGTTGCAGTACAACATTGTATTCTACGGCACTAATATAGCATCGCAGAAATCTATAACACCTGTTTTATGCATAGTGGTTACCCATAAAATTACTAAACAGGCTCAAAGCCTGCTAAACTTCCAAGATATCACGAGATTGGGTGTTTTGTGGGTGATTTGGTCATATGCTCAATGCAGTCGTGTGTAGTGCAATTTTAATTGATATTTTATTATGCTCACAAAATGGACCAGGTATATGATAAATTGTATATTTTTTTCAGCTTATATCAAAGTTTACTTGCACTCACCAAAAGCCATGATGCCCACTGCCTGCACCACATTTGGCTGCGCAAAAGTCCAAGCATTCATGGAAGCAGGACTTCAAAAAAAGGCACAGAAACAGCTAGAACTTACAACTGAGACTGGTAACAAGTCTCATAATGCACATCACACAGCCAGTAGCAGGGCATGGCACTTGCATTTCTCTTTAAGTTAAATCCATTTCCAACCCACGCATACATTAATCTGGCACTGCCGCTGTGCACAGCTGTGAACAAATATGCAGTACAGGAAAAGCATTTATTCTCTCAACATGAATCATTGCATATTATTTTATTTAATGCCATGGCTTACAATTGGGGATGTGGTATTGTGTACAATCTCAACAAAGAGGCGTTTTTGTATAATTATGGTTTTGGAAAAAATCCAGCAATGGTTTTCCATTTACCTTAGCTCGGAGAGATGACAGAAATTGACAATGTACTTCCCAATTTATTTAATAAGCCTAATGGCTTTGTATGCTGTTTGGAAGCTATATTCTTTCACTCAACAATCTAGGGATGACGTCAATGTACTTTTTAAGAACACCTCATGTTGACCACAAAATTCACTTATAAAAGCATGGCAAACTATTTTTATTTATTGAGCATTTGACTACAACAGGATTTGAAAAATCCATATAAAATAAAAATGTATGTTCTTTAAGACAGCATGTAATGTAAGTACATTTGCAATTTGCAACTTGAACATACAGTAATCAGAACTGTCGTTGAAGTTAAAATGTTGTCATATTGGGTGAGTCATATAGCTTTAAAAACAGCAACGCCTTTTTGAGTGCATTTGGCAATTATGTGTATGAAACATTTACAGTAAAATGAAAATGTCAGTCAGTGGTGCCAGACTTACATTTGCGGTCCCAATGTGAATGCTCGGACAACCACCACAATTAGGATGAAGAGTGTGAAGAACACTGAAATCAGAGACACCTGTAGAAATATTACACCATTCATGCCCCGAAATATTTCTCATCATGATATAAAAAAGTACAGTACTCCGTTATGGATGCATTATGGTGCATTTTATACATTCTGAGCAACAGTTCTGACAAGCCAGTTATGTTTTTGTTGTTTTCTTATTGTCTTCTAATTTTTCATATTTAAAATGTAGGCCTATCAATTGAATGTACGTTTGAGATTTTTGTATATGATTTAGATCACTGAAGATGCTAATACTATAGAAATGTCATAAAACAAAGAGATTAAGTGTATAAAAAAACGTAAATGTAAATTAATACTGATCAGTTCCACAGTATGTAGTAAACAAAGCTAGCCCCTGCTCGCAACAAATGCTTGGATTCAGGGTAGTGTAGCAGAATTATTAATTCATATTTAGAAGACAGGAGGGTGCATTTCTGCACTAGTATATTTATGCAAAAATGGGATAATGTGAACGTTCTAAAGAGAGACCTCGGAGGTGACATTAAAGTGCCTGGTGAGCATTGTGTGAGGGCAACGAGGATCTTGGTGATGAACGTGTGGAAGGGGGTAAGGTTGTTGTGAAGCAGTGTTGCAGAGTGCCGTGAGAATACTGGAAAGATGAGTTTGGACATACCCGCGTGAAAGCTGTGATGGCAAGAAATGTATAACATCGCTGTGTTTTACAAAATTGTCATTGGATATAAATTACAGTCAAAAGTTTTCTCCTTCTTAAAGGACATTAGCCTGCTGAGAATTGGGCCACTAAAGTGGCATCCTGAGTTGCAAGTGTTGGCGAGTGTTGTCAGCGTGGGTGCGTGTCGTTCATACCTTTCCCAACTGGGCCACATCGCGGAAAAGGGACAGTGGCAGGGTGCAAAACACCGAGGTGAGGAAGATTATGAAATATCTGTTTGCCAGGATATGCTCTTCACCCACTGATTCCACAAGAAAGAAAACCGTACATTGATTCAGCTGCATGCAAGAGCCTGCAAGGATTATTTTTGCAGCATACTCTACAGACTGAAAGTCTGTAAATAATGTTAATTAATGTTAGCATATGGAAATCTACAGTCAAAACTTTGCTTGCATAGATCCGTTTGATTTTGCCAAGTAAACATGTGCTTTCACGGTGCTCCGTAATAAATGGCAGAGATATTGATTCAAGCTGCTGTCAATCAAGCAGGCCGGATTGAGGGAATAATGTAAGCATTCTGCACACAATAATGTAAGTGCTCTGCACTTAAAATACCACACATGCGGCTTTGGTAACCATAGTTTGCTCTTGTGAAAATTAATTGATCCTGAATGGACTATTGCTCTGTTAGAACTAAGGTCATTCAGTAATGGATTGACATAAGGACACTTGTTTAGGAATACCAACAAGCACACACACACCATTGTTTTACAATGTTCTTAGTAGTAGCATGGCCCAGCTTGTTACACATGCCTATCAAGGTGCTTCATTAAATAGTTGAGTATGTATGGTCTAAGTGGCAATAATATAAAGCTCTGCTTGTGTCTTTTGAAATAAATTAGTGAATCAGTGGCCTTACCTCCTGGAATCCGTTCAAACACCTTTGTTAGTGTATCACCAGTTATTACATTGTAGCTCACCATCGCTGAAAAACATCCATACCAGTTCCGCCTTGACCTCAATTGCATGCAATATCAGTAACAAAAATAATAATTTACTTTCGTAAGCAGTATATAGCCCTAAGGGAGCACAGAATGCTAAATAACACAATATTACAACGATAACATTTAGCCAATTGTGTCTTTTGCTTCACAATTTTTTTTATTTTTAATGCATACGTGTGCTGCGTGAAAATTACATGAAAACTAAAAGGGGTACATTAAATGTACATGAAGCGCGAGAGTATAACATTCTCCAGTAACCCTGTCGCCACTACTGGACCGTGAGCTAGGTTGAAATGTTGAGCAAGCATCTGCACAGGACTCCGTATGTTGTAATGGAGACATGGGGACATACTCTTTGGTTCTTTCGGTAAAGTCACGTAGGTACAAAAAATAATAGATCACGACGTTTCGATCGCCACACAAGCAATCGTCATCAGGTGGGAGAAAGAAACAGGCTGCTGAAACAAGTCCTTACACAGGTAGTCCCCGAATTATGATGGTCCGACTTACGATATTTACATCTTACAATGGCGACAGCGATACGATAAAATTGTAAAATATTTTAAATTTCAGGCGGCAGGCAAACGCAGCAGAGTACAGTACAATATGATACGTTACGATAGTTCAATGCACGTATGATACGTAGCTTTAGCGAATTAATTTTAGGGTTACCACGATACGATACGTTCAATGCATGTTAAACGTTTTTATAGCAGATAGGATTGTTTCCTGAAAAAAACTTTCTATTAAATTGCAGTTCATATAGGTAGGCTTGTTTTTTTTTTACTTTACATTTTACTGTGCAATACAGTATTGTAATTAATAAATACATACAGTATATAGTTTATACAGTACGGTACTGTAAATTGCTCTGTTTTGCTAAATTATCACCATTCTTTAAGACTCCTGGGTAGGCTAGGCCATCTTCGACTTACGATATTTTTGACTTACGATGGGGTCGTCGTAACGCATCTCCATCGTAAGTAGAGGACTACCTGTGTATAGAGCCGAGAGGGGGGTTGCCGCATCGGGCAAGAGGGTGGGGGCTAGAGATTGCGCCTAAGCGAGTGGGAAATCCAAAGAGGGGAACCGAGATGGGGGGGTGATGCGAGAGCTGCTAGAGCTGAGGAGGTGGCCATTGTATCGTGAGAGATTAGCATGTCAATGTAAACGAACCAACGCAATGGTGGCTATGCTAGTGAGAACATCCAGCTCGTTAGAAAACGAGGGAAACAAAACGAGGGACAACACCACATCGAGGGAAGGAGAGAGACACACACCAAAAATGAATAACAGGTCCCTGCAGGGTGGGCTGGTAGGAACATTGGAATTTTGCGCAAATTTATTACACCCAACAGCACGAGATTTCACTTCGTTAAAGTATTGAAAGGGGACGGACGGACGGACACATTAATCTATTGCAGGCTGGTACACTCAGTTTACAACTTCGTTCCTACCAGTAAAAACGGACACTCACCAACATAACTTAGCTTGTGAGTTTTTTTCATCAAAATACAGAATTCCTATAATCCGCGGCAGCTGTAGGGTCTGTAAAAACTCCAATAATCTATTCTCTAGTCGCATTATCTGAAGCTTTTCCCTCCAGCTTCGCAAGATGGCTTTGTATCTTTACGAATAAGAGAAGGCTAGCGGCAGATTCATCCTATTACCCATGTTTATCCGCAGAATAGGATTGCAAGTAAAACTGTGGATAACAGGATCCGCAATATTGGTCCCTCAGATCTCCATGGAGAAAAAGGAGTTCTGTGTAAGTTAAACAAGCAAGGAATCATACACAATGCAGAGGGGAGTCCTCACCAATGAATGGGTAGGTGAACTGCAGTAGGGACAGCACTATGTAGCCGAAGTAACCAAACGCGCTGTGCACCAGTGATTGGTACGTGGTGGTGCCAGAGAGAGAGCCGGACTTGATGAGCAAGATGATGGAGTAATCTGTACAGAAGGGGGGGGGGGGGGGGGGGAGGCACGCGCTTGAGCTGCACATTAAGACACTGACTGTTCCAACGTGCGTCACATGATGCATTCTTAGAAAATCAACACAATGGCACGTTGTGTTGCTTTTAACCGCTCAGTACAATACAGTTTACTGTTTATAAACATAAAGTGGGTATTATGACCAAATAACCCACAATGCACCAAATCTTGACAGTTCTCAGAAGCTAAGTAAGTTTCAGCCTAGGTCGATAGGGGGATCACCATGCACAAAACAGGGTGTTACGACTTGTGGGACCACACATTCGGCAACATGTATGTTTGTATGTAGAACTTTCGCACCGTATGTAGCCAACCGTGCTAATCAGAGGTACGGGAAAGGGAAGTCCCGTAGGTGTGGACAGCAGACAGCAGTACAACTATATATGGCGGTATGTGTGTACATGACCACGCGTGTCACCTGTGACATAGGCCACCACCACGAGAAGCAATAGACCCAGAGGGAATCCCGCCTGCTTCAAGGCATAGGGCAATCCTGCGCACTCAGACGGAACGTGTTGCGTTAATAAATATTGTTATTATTACGAGCAACCATGGGATTGGGCCGCAATTTACCGTGCTCTGTCCCGTGACATCTCAGTCTTAATTTAGGCACCAGAGAGTCGCATAGCTAAACAGGTGTTTATTTATATGTACGATATATTAAATTGTTTAAGATATTTTTCATCGTTTAAAAATTATGTCAATGTAAACTTGAAATCAAAAGTACAGCGTATGCAGCATAATATGTTTATACTTTACAGCCCTTTGTTAAAGCAATTCTAAATGAAGCCTGCCCATGCTATGTCAGTCATGGGGATTTATTTGACCTAACTTCACCATGCTGGTCAGAGTGGGTGGGTGAAGGAAGGCAATATTGCTCGCCACTAACTTTGGCTGTGGCCAATAATCCAATGCAGGTCACCAAATTTATAGAACAGTGCACCGACCTCAGTGCTAGTGTAATTAAATAATCAAAAGTCATGTTCTATCCACTACTGGATGAACACTTCTCCAGTTCGTTGCCATTCCTCACACATTTATTTGACATCTTGGTTTATTAGAGCTTGGATGACTGCGTCAATTTCCAAGTCGATCACTTTCGATGATCTGCAAAAGCTAAGCATTATAGTAATTTATATTCATTTCTGTTTTGCAGCATATGACAGTATATATGTGGACGATGGTAGAACATTTTCCTAAATATAGCTTGCTCCTATGGCCTCTAAATAGTTCATTATTCTGCTCCCAACAATCTTTGTAAACAATGTATTTACTTGAGACTGAATGGTTTGCAATTATTAAAGTCAGCCTTCCAAATTTTAATATAAAAATGATTGAAACATCTTCCAGGATTGAGGTATTTCATGTGAGCATTTCGTAAAAGGTCCACCAATTTTGTTCCAACAGCCAATTCCACTTTTTTTGATGATATTCACAGTAGCCTTCCGTTTTTTTTTTCCTCGGTGTCATAAAGTGTACAGAGTGTTTGGAACACCACTCACCTATTATACCTGCCCCTATGATGGAGTTAAGGACATTCAGGCTGGCGGAGGGCAAATCACTTGTCCCCGTTCTGGAGTCCTCATCCTCAACCTCTCGAGGGAACAAGGCCTCCCTGTCACTGGCATGGACATCCTGCGGAGACTGAGACACGGCCGTGAGCCCCACACCAGAAAATAAATCAGTGTATCAAGGAAATGTAACCGAATGACACGTTCTGCACAATTGTACCACAACACTATTTGAAAACTTTACTGATTTAGACACGTCAAGAATAAATATTTGAATGTAGTGGTTTTAACTTAAAATTTCGTCAAGATATAATCAACGTGATTGTCAGTAGAAACGCAGAGGATGTTTTATGTCACACTATTGACAAATGGCTTATTTTGTACCCTAATAGCTAAATGATTAAAAAAAGCTTTCAAATAATTTTCATACTCTTCATGGGTAATAAATCAACAGTGACAACACAATGTAAATATTGTATTTACTCATGCATTTAGACTTATTAATGGTGGCTGTTCAGACCAAGTTAAAACGAAATATACAAAGGTCGTGATTTGAGTTATACTTTGTATTCCACTGTCAACTGTATTTTCAGAACCACACCTTCCTGACGAATGGTTTATTTTGAACCATAATGATTTTATTAAAAAAGCTTTCAGGTTTATTTTTTATACTTTCAGTGTGCACTAAAGGCACAGTGACAATGCAATGAAAACAGCAACATTTACTTCTGCATTTTGAATATTTTATAGTGCCCTTTCAGAACAAATCTTTATAAAATTGCAAAGGTCAGGATTGCAACAACTACACATATGTTGTCTATAAAATGCCACTGCATTTCAAGACCTTTGAAAAATGAAACTAAAAATAGACTTATATTTTCTCTGCCCATTGTGATATCATAAGAAACTGCGTTGTGCATGTTTTTTTATGAACGAAACGCAGATTTTAAAACGCGTTGAAGCTTTGCTTGCATTTTATTTCTTGCAAGTTAAAAGGCCAGTGATAATAACTAATGAGACAAATGACCAATGTTAATTCTGCCGTTTTACAGCACACGGCAGCCCTTCCCTTAATCTCTGGGCTCACTATAGCCATTGCAGTCAATGAATGAGTTAATGCAAACAGGCACACGCAGCTGGTCAAACACACCCCATGATTGCATGTCACGCGGCCAGTACTGGTCACCTTATTCAACAATAACGCAACAAAAGCAGCCGTTCATTTGGCGCAGAGCCGCTAATGCAGGTTACGACAAAACAACTGCATCTGTTTTTGACGCTGGGGGTACTTGTGCCACATTGACAGACCAATTAGGAGGGTTCACAAAATGCATATATGATCTTGATTTAAAAGGGCTATAATGCAATTTTTTTGCACAAATGCAGTCAACTCTATGCATACTAATTTAAATATACAATAACTGGAATTAAAAAATGTAGACCCTCAAATTATATCCCAGAGACTGATACGTGTCACTCATTTGGCAGCAGTCTAAAGTTCTAAATTGCTTTAAGTCTCCTGTTAACAGCAAATAGATTGAACCAAAGGAGAGTTCAACATCCTGGTATGCAGGGAGCTGTGGACGTGTATCGTGCAATCCTGCAGCTGACATATCAGAGTGCTTGACTACTTTAGGTTATATATGATTGCTTGTGTTGCAGTCGAAACGTCGTGAGAATTTTATTGTTTTATATTTTTATTATTTTATTGTTTCCCTTCTACGTGACTTTACCGAAAGAACCAAGAATATGAATCCCTGCAGTCACGAAAGCTTTAAATAAAAATTTACTTTAGGTTATCCCTAGAGAAGGGAACACGAACTGCAGTACGCCACTGCTGGCTTCAAGCATTTTCCGGCATTTCAAATATTAATTAGGGCTATTCCTGAAGCCGTTCACTGACTTACTAATACAGACATACATATTTAAATGTTACTGATAAACTTTCCACTCAAGAATAAGAATGCAAAATAATATGTAAAATTCTCCAACAAAATAATATGTAAGCTTAAGACATATACTATATATATACACACACTAACTACTGTAAACAAAAAGCATAGTTGCAAACTAGATTATCTGTACTTAGCTGCGAGCTGTACTTAATTGCCATGCATTTAAATAAGAGTTGTGTCGATAATCCATCCATGTTTTGTCTTGTTCATTGCGTTCCGATACCCAAGAGTTCACGTGATTTCTGAATTGAGCTTGGAGCTTAGCTCTTGAGCCAAAATTCCAAGCAGGAAGTATGTGGCATATGGATACAATGCAGAAAATACTGCCGGCATTTAGGAGTCTTCAGTTTACAACAGAATATTTAGAGTTTAAAACATTCCACGTTCATCAAAGAGAACCACAACGCAAAAAACGTCCACCCCATCGCATGAGGCTACAACCAACATACATTAACCCCAACATCCCCATCACCCGGATTCGCCGTGCATGATTAATGCCGACATAAGGAACATTCCCGTGTGCTGCTGCTGCTAGCTCCGTTTTACACATGCCACATTTACTACACTGCATTTTGTTATTACATGTAAAATTGTCCAAACGTAAGAAGTATACCGTGAACCCCCTCCTAATGCATGCGCGACAGGGAAATCTGAACACGGTCAGTCACAACGTCTCAGGGCAACAGTTCTTTTGACACATGCCGCATTTAAACAACGTCCATGTGGGGAGGAGTAGCAACGCATTCTCTCGTTAATGCGATGTGCAATATATGCTCGAAGCACGTGGTGTTTGTGTGATCGTGGTAACGTAAACAGCAGCGAGGCGTAATGCTGCTCACTGACACGTGCGAGTGAGTGTGTGTGGAGAGGAGAGCTGACGAGGTACCGATTTGACTCTCTCCGAGGCGTCCCGGTCGCGTTCTTCGTTTTCATCCATGCTCACGGAACTCCTTAGGGCTTGTTTGTAATGGTCAGCGAGACTATTACAAATACAGCGAACACCACCACCACTACACTAAGTCCTGTATCGCGCAGTCGAATGAGCAGACACGCGCGACAATAATATATTGTTTAACACGTAGGCTTTCGCGACCAATATTACTCATAATACAGGTTTTTGGGTTAGATCGCGTTATTTATAAATGTGTCGTAACCTTCCACCAACCGACACGGCCAATCAGCAAAAAAGTGTCACGTTGACAAAAGACAATTAGTTTACTACTTTAGCCCACCGGTGTGTTTAAGAGTGAATCCACAACATTTACAGTTTGAGTACGACGTTTCGCTGGTAATTACATCCAGCATCATCGGGCAATTTGCCAGAATAGTGAAGCCCTCTCCACTTGCTCCCGGTCTTAAATAGAGCAGCAGGGTGACGTCATCATTTAACTCATTCAGGTGCAGTGATTATATAATCGATTGGTAATCAGTCAATGGTTATGTAATGTGTGTTATTGTGATTATATGCTACGTTAGTAATCCGTTAATTAGTATGTGTTTCCCCTATAAGGAATTGTAATATGTATTATTTAATACGCAATAATAACGTCGTACTCAAACTGTAAATGTTGTGGATTCACTCTTCAACACACCGGTGGGCTAAAGTAGTGAACTATTTTGTCTTTTGTCAACGTGACACTTTTTTGCTGATTGGCCGTGTCGGGTGGTGGAGGGTTACGACACGTTTATATATAACGCGATTGAACCCAAAACCTTTATTATAAGTAATATATTATGTTTAAACAATGCAATTTGTCAGCTTCTGCGCAGCAAATGTCACACCTCAAACTAAATAACACTTTTGTTTTCAGTTCACCCAATTGGCACTTCTATTTGCCTCGTGACATTGTTCCCGTTTATCTTGCGATTCGGTTCTGTGAAGAGGTCGATGCGGTTTCGGTGCTATTATTATTATTATAGCTGTGTGAGCCACAAATACATCTACATCTGTAGCTCTCACAGATACGTCTGTAGCTCACACAGATACATCTGTAGCTCACACAGATACATGTGTAGCTCTCACAGATACATCTGTAGCTCACACAGATACATCTGTAGCTCACACAGATACATGTGTAGCTCTCACAGATACATCTGTAGCTCACACAGATACATCTGTAGCTGTCACAGATACATCTGTAGCACTCACAGATACATCTGTAGCTCACATATACATCTGCAGCTGTCACAGATAAACCTGTAGCTCTCACAGATACATCTGTAGCTCACATATACATCTGTAGCTCACAGATACATCTGTAGCGGTCGCAGATCCGTCTGTAGCTCTCACAGATACATCTGTAGCTGTCACAGATCCGTCTGTAGCTCACACAGATACGTCTGTAGCCCACACAGATACATCTGTAGCTCACAGATACATCTGTAGCTCTCACAAATACATCTGTAGCTGTCACAGATACATCTGTAGCTGTCACAGATACGTCTGTAGCTCACACAGATACATCTGTAGCTCACACAGATACATCTGTAGCACTCACAGATACATCTGTAGCTCACACAGATACATCTGTAGCTCTCACAGATACATCTGTAGCACTCACAGATACATCTGCAGCTGTCACAGATACATCTGTAGCTCACACAGATACATCTGTAGCTCACAGATACATCTGTAGCTCACACAGATACATCTGTAGCTCACACATATCCATCTGTAGCTCTCACAGATACATCTGTAGCTCACAGATACATCTGTAGCTCACACAGATACATCTGTAGCTCACACAGATCCATCTGTAGCTCTCACAGATACATCTGTAGCTCACAGATACATCTGTAGCTCACACAGATACGTCTGTAGCTCTCACAGATACATCTGTAGCTCTCACAGATACGTCTGTAGCTCACACAGATACATCTGTAGCTCACACAGATACATGTGTAGCTATCACAGATACATCTGTAGCTCACACAGATACATCTGTAGCTCACACAGATACATGTGTAGCTCTCAGATACATCTGTAGCTCACACAGATACATCTGTAGCTCACACAGATACGTCTGTAGCTCTCACAGATACATCTGTAGCTGTCACAGATACATCTGTAGCACTCACAGATACATCTGTGGCTCACACAGATACATCTGTAGCTCACACAGATACATCTGTAGCTGTCACAGATACATCTGTAGCACTCACAGATACATCTGTAGCTCACATATACATCTGTAGCTGTCACAGATAAATCTGTAGCTCTCACAGATACATCTGTAGCTGTCACAGATCCGTCTGTAGCTCACACAGATACGTCTGTAGCCCACACAGATACATCTGTAGCTCACAGATACATCTGTAGCTCTCACAAATACATCTGTAGCTCACACAGATACATATGTAGCTCACACAGATACATCTGTAGCTGTCACAGATACATCTGTAGCTGTCACAGATACGTCTGTAGCTCACACAGATACATCTGTAGCTCACACAGATACACCTGTAGCACTCACAGATACATCTGTAGCTCACACAGATACATCTGTAGCTCACACAGATACATCTGTAGCTGTCACAGATACATCTGTAGCTCACACAGATACATCTGTAGCACTCACAGATACATCTGTAGCTGTCACAGATACATCTGCAGCTCACACAGATACATCTGTAGCTTACACATATACATCTGTAGCTGTCACAGATACATCTGTAGCTGTCACAGATACATCTGTAGCTCACACAGATACATCTGTAGCTCACAGATACATCTGTAGCTCACACAGATACATCTGTAGCTCACACAGATCCATCTGTAGCTCTCACAGATACATCTGTAGCTCACAGATACATCTGTAGCTCACACAGATACATCTGTAGCTCACACAGATCCATCTGTAGCTCTCACAGATACATCTGTAGCTCACAGATACATCTGTAGCTGTCACAGATACGTCTGTAGCTCACACAGATACATCTGTAGCTCACACAGATACATCTGTAGCTCACACAGATACGTCTGTAGCTCTCACAGATACATCTGGAGCTGTCACAGATACATCTGTAGCTCTCACAGATACATCTGTAGCTCACACAGATACATCTGTAGCTGTCACAGATACATATGTAGCTCTCACAGATACGTCTGCAGCTTACACATATACATCTGTAGCTGTCACAGATACATATGTAGCTCACACAGATACATCTGTAGCTCACACAGATACATGTGTAGCTCTCACAGATACATATGTAGCTCTCACAGATACATCTGTAGCTCTCACAGATACATCTGTAGCTCACACAGATACATCTGTAGCTTACACATATACATCTGTAGCTGTCACAGATACATCTGTAGCTGTCACAGATACATCTGTAGCTCACACAGATACATCTGTAGCTCTCACAGATACATATGTAGCTCTCACAGATACATCTGTAGCTCTCACAGATACATCTGTAGCTCACACAGATACATCTGTAGCTTACACATATACATCTGTAGCTGTCACAGATACATCTGTAGCTGTCACAGATACATCTGTAGCTCACACAGATACATCTGTAGCTCACAGATACATCTGTAGCTGTCACAGATACGTCTGTAGCTCACACAGATACATCTGTAGCTCACACAGATACATCTGTAGCACTCACAGATACATCTGTAGCTCACACAGATACATCTGTAGCTCACAGATACATCTGTAGCTCTCACAGATACATCTGTAGCACTCACAGATACATCTGTAGCTCACACAGATACATCTGTAGCTGTCACAGATACATCTTTAGCTCACACATACATCTGTAGCTCACACAGATACATCTGTAGCTCACACAGATACATCTGTAGCTCACAAAGATTCATCTGTAGCTCACACAGATACATATGGAGCTCACACAGATACATCTGTAGCTCACACAGATACATCTGTAGCTCACACAGATACATCTGTAGCTCTCACAGATACATCTGTAGCTCACAGATACATCTGTAGCTGTCACAGATACGTCTGTAGCCCTCACAGATACATCTGTAGCTCTCACAGATACATCTGTAGCACTCACAGATACATCTGTAGCTCACATAGATACATCTGTAGCTCACACAGATACATCTGTAGCTGTCACAGATACATCTGTAGCTCACAGATACATCTGTAGCTCTCACAGATACATCTGTAGCTCTCACAGATACGTCTGCAGCTTACACAGATACATCTGTAGCTCACACAGATACATCTGTAGCTCAGACAGATACATGTGTAGCTCTCACAGATACATCTGTAGCTCACACAGATACATCTGTAGCTCACACAGATACATCTGTAGCTCTCACAGATACATCTGTAGCTGTCACAGATACATCTGTAGCACTCACAGATACGTCTGTAGCTTACACATATACATCTGTAGCTGTCACAGATACATCTGTAGCTCACACAGATACATCTGTAGCTGTTACAGATACATCTGTAGCTCTCACAGATACATCTGTAGCTTACACATATACATCTGTAGCTGTCACAGATACATCTGTAGCTGTCACAGATACATCTGTAGCTCACACAGATACATCTGTTGCTCACAGATACATCTGTAGCTGTCACAGATACGTCTGTAGCTCACACAGATACATCTGTAGCTCACACAGATACATCTGTAGCACTCACAGATACATCTGTAGCTCACACAGATACATCTGTAGCTCACACAGATACATCTGTAGCTCACACAGATACATCTGTAGCTCACACAGATACATCTGTAGCTGTCACGGATACATCTGTAGCTGTCACAGATACATATGTAGCTGTCACAGATGCATCTGTAGCACTCACAGATACATCTGTAGCTCACACAGATACATCTGTAGCTGTCACAGATACATCTTTAGCTCACACATACATCTGTAGCTCACACAGATACATCTGTAGCTCACACAGATACATCTGTAGCTCACACAGATACATCTGTAGCTCACACAGATACATCTGTAGCTCACCGATACATCTGTAGCTGTCACAGATACGTCTTTAGCTCACACAGATACATCTGTAGCTCACACAGATACATCTGTAGCACTCACAGATACATCTGTAGCTCACACAGATACATCTGTAGCTCACAGATACATCTGTAGCTCACACAGATACATCTGTAGCTCACACAGATACATATGTAGCTGTCACAGATACATCTGTAGCACTCACAGATACATCTGTAGCTGTTACAGATACATCTGTAGCTCTCACAGATACATCTGTAGCTTACACATATACATCTGTAGCTGTCACAGATACATCTGTAGCTGTCACAGATACATCTGTAGCTCACACAGATACATCTGTAGCTCACAGATACATCTGTAGCTGTCACAGATACGTCTGTAGCTCACACAGATACATCTGTAGCTCACACAGATACATCTGTAGCTCACAGATACATCTGTAGCTGTCACAGATACGTCTGTAGCTCACACAGATACATCTGTAGCTCACACAGATACATCTGTAGCACTCACAGATACATCTGTAGCTCACACAGATACATCTGTAGCACTCACAGATACATCTGTAGCTCACACAGATACATCTGTAGCTCTCACAGATACATCTGTAGCTCACAGATACATCTGTAGCTGTCACAGATACGTCTGTAGCTCACACAGATACATCTGTAGCTCACACAGATACATCTGTAGCACTCACATATACATCTGTAGCTCACACAGATACATCTGTAGCACTCACAGATACATCTGTAGCTCACAGATACATCTGTAGCCCTCACAGATACATCTGTAGCTCTCACAGATACATCTGTAGCTCTCACAGATACATCTGTAGCTCACACAGATACATCTGTGGCTGTCACAGATACATCTGTAGCTGTCACAGATACATCTGTAGCTGTCACAGATACATCTGTAGCACTCACAGATACATCTGTAGCTCACAGATACATCTGTAGCTGTCACAGATAAATCTGTAGCTCACACAGATACATCTGTAGCTTACACATATACATCTGTAGCTGTCACAGATACATCTGTAGCTCACACAGATACATCTGTAGCTCACAGATACATCTGTAGCTGTCACAGATACATCTGTAGCTCACACAGATACATCTGTAGCTCACACAGATACATCTGTAGCTCACACAGATACATCTGTAGCTCACACAGATACATCTGTAGCTCACACAGATACATCTGTAGCTCACACAGATACATCTGTAGCTGTCACAGATACATGTGTAGCTCACACAGATACATCTGTAGCTCACACAGATACATCTGTAGCTCACACATATACATCTGTAGCTCACACAGATACATCTGTAGCTCTCACAGATACATCTGTAGCCCACACAGATACATCTGTAGCTCACACAGATACATCTGTAGCTCACACAGATACATCTGTAGCTCACACAGATACATCTGTAGCTGTTACAGATACATCTGTAGCTGTTACAGATACATCTGTAGCTCACACAGATACATCTGTAGCTCACACAGATACGTCTGTAGCTCTCACAGATACGTCTGTAGCTCACACAGATACATCTGTAGCTCACACAGATACATCTGTAGTTCACACAGATACATCTGTAGTTCACACAGATACATCTGTAGCTCACACATATACATCTGTAGCTCACACAGATAGCTCTCACAGATACATCTGTAGCTCACACAGATACGTCTGTAGCTCACACAGATACATCTGTAGCTCTCACAGATACATATGTAGCTCTCACAGATACATCTGTAGCTCACACAGATACATATGGACCTCACACAGATACATATGTAGCTCACACAGATACATCTGTCGCTCACACAGATCCGTCTGTAGCTCACACAGATACATCTGTAGCTCTCACAGATCCGTCTGTAGCTCACACAGATACATCTGTAGCTCACAGATACATCTGTAGCTCACACAGATACATCTGTAGCTCACACAGATACATCTGTAGCTCACACAGATACATCTGTAGCTCACACAGATACATCTGTAGCACTCACAGATACATCTGTAGCTCTCACAGATACATCTATAGCTCTCACAGATACATCTGTAGCTCACACAGATACATCTGTAGCTGTCACAGATACATATGTAGCTCTCACAGATACGTCTGTCGCTCACACAGATACATCTGGAGCTGTCACAGATACATCTGTAGCTCACACAGATACATCTGTAGCTCACACAGATACATCTGTAGCTCACACAGATACATCTGTAGCTCACACAGATACATCTGTAGCTCACACAGATAAATCTGTAGCTCACAGATACATCTGTAGCTCACACAGATGCATTTGTAGCTCTCACAGATACATCTGTAGCTCACACAGATACGTCTGTCGCTCACATATACGTCTGTAGCTCACACAGATACATCTGTAGCTGTCACAGATACATCTGTAGCACTCACAGATACATCTGTAGCTCACACAGCTGGAAGCTGGTTTCAAACCAGATGGCTTCTGATTTTATGTATTACCAATATTGCTTTTGCCAGAGGCGCCTATTATAGACGCCACAAGTACCGTAATCAGCAATACTCTTCGCGTGCGAGTTCCGGCAGCAGCAGACGATGATGATGACGATGATGTAGAATACCGTACACAGCAGGCTGAAGAGCTGTAATACCGGCGTTCACGCAACGTGCAGCTGACGCCACCACGCGTGAACACGTCGTAGAGAGAGAGCAAGCAGCAGCAAGCAAGCGATGTGTGCTGTCGAGCACTTAGTGGCAACAGAGACTGGTGGGGTGTGTGTGTGTTTATAAATAAAACTGTTAAATGTCCCCGCCATCACCGGCTAATGGTTCAGTCCTGACGGTGCACTCGGTTCGCCTTGTTCAGGCTATCAGGTCAGAGATTTCGTGCTGCGTGAGCCGAAATTGCGGATTGCTTTATCGTTGATTTGCATACCAGGGAGAAAAAAAGAATCAAGTTAAAATGTATCAAGCCAAGCTGGGTTTGAGGCTTGATAGTTTAAAGGATGGGAGGCTGCCTAGGGAATATTCCCATGTGTTGTTGTAGGCTTGTCGAGATATTGGACTGCGACGTGGCTAGAGGGCGATACTAATTTTGATGATTCAATCTATCTGTGCGGATATTTAAGTCCTCTTTAAATGTTCAGCACATTGTATGTAGGGGTTTGCTCCTTGGTATACTGCCTTTTCCTTCCATATGAAGCTAAACGCTCATTAACATAATTGGCCAAACATCATCATTATATATAAATTACTTACTTGGAAGCTATTATCCTATATACTGCGTTGTCCACGTTTGCCAGTAAGCGTCTGTTTACAATGACAATAGGTCATTTACCTGAAAAAAAACAAACCGAATTAGTCGAAAAATAACTCAAATGAGTCGGACAATGTATCGCGTCTGAGTTTGTCGACCAATAATTGTTGGTATGGAGTAACACGCGGTATGAATAAAATATAGTTTAAACAAAAATTGCATCAACCGATGCTCCAACGTCTTTCTCATGTGGAATAAAAACGTGCGTTATGTAACGGGTCCTTAAACAAAAAATAATCTCCATCCACGCTATCACCGCCCTGCTCGGTTGCTACGTAAGATATGTGAAAACCATTTGCTTTCATGGTATTCAATCACACGGGTGGGAAGAAAGTCAGAGATGGTCATTATAAATCAAAAGGGGTGGCAGAATTTGTATAATTCGCACCCTCATTCATAAGCGCTGCATACGAATGATTTCGCTCGCTCTGTGACCTTTTCGTTTCGTGGAGGCGAGGTGCTCACCGTGCACGTCGATTCGTCGCTTCCTTGCCGATGTTCATCACCGACCGCCCCTACGGTGCCAAGAGGCGCGGTTGTTAATAGGGGGGCCCTCATAAGGCTCTGGCATCTGCCTAAAATCCATTCAATTCCCCAGTGCCGTCCATCGCAGAATTATTTCATGAAAGTGTATCAACTGCGAGCTTGTATAATGTACAATGTGCGTGCGGTCACTCGGCTGTAGGACGTATGCACATCCATAAATTAAAACCACCGTCAAGGCTTAAAGTTAATTTTGTTTACAACGTTAACGGCACTGAAGTAGACTTTATTTGCACCGGGATGACCTACAATGCAGGCCGAATGTACAAAGCTGAGAAATTAAATTACGCAATGCTTCAAAGTAGATATATATTTTTTTTCGGTTGGGTTAAATCGCGCAATTCAAACGTGTTGTCGTAAACCCCTCCTCCACTCGACACACAGACCATCAACAACCACGACGACCACCACCGGCCCGGCGTTGTGAGGGCCTCCTGCGCTCCTGGGCCTCATATAGGGAGGGTGATGTCATCAATTTGCGTCCACCTGGGAAGCGGCTGGAAGAGATGACGGAAAAGTGAATATATCTGCATAATTCACGCACTGTTTGCATTAATTATGTTAATATTCATCGAATTAAATTATGTAAATATTTTTTATTTATTTAAAGCTTTCGTGACTGCAGGGATTCATATTCTTGGTTATTATTTTATTGTTTCCCTTCTTACGTGACTTTACCGAAAGAACCAAGAATATGTTAATACTGTTTACGATGAATTATGCTAAGCATGGTATTGGCTTGGTCCAGTAACGCCCCTGGCCTCCACCACCAATTCACGAACCCACAGTGACCTGCACGGTGAAGTATAATCAAAAAGCACCCATTACTCATACGGTATGGGCAGACCTTCAGTCAGCAGCGTAGTGACAAAAGGGTTGTTAGTCCCTAATGTTTCATGAGTGGAGTTCAAAAGAACTCACAAACACTTTGTGAAAAACCCAACGCACAATATCCCTGGGTTTGATCTTCCACGAAACTTATGGTCCACCCTTAAACCGCATCTGTACAAACCGTGGCAACATGCGACTGTAGTCACCCCGAACAGACCATAAAACACATTACGATGCAATGCCGGATCCACAAATATGAAGGATACATCGCAAAAAAAAACCTCTTCGCTGCTCCTAACGCGGTTATCTGGCTTGACCACCTGAATGTGAAATGTATGCATTGTCGATGTTTCCGATGCATACGCATGGCAATCATTGCACGGAGCAATAGAAAGTGGAACACACAGATCAGGTAGCAAACACAAACTAGAGATATTATTAAGGAATTTTAGGTGGGAATTGGCAGGGTACAGTATGTAACTAGAAGGAATATGCCCGAGAGGACGACCATCAATTAGATGGTTTAATGAGATCCTTAGATGTATTGTGGCATCACATGACCGTGAGGGATGGCAAAGACATAGACATGCATTCATCCAGCAGTGGATCATGCCTGATGAGGATGAATGTGTTCACTGCAGATGTTTGTATTTCTCTCCCCATCTTGAGATCACGTTCACGCGTGGGACAGGAAATGGAGGGTTGGGGAGGGTGTTCTGTCTCAGCTCACTGCTTTGTCTGACTCGGATGAATGGATAGGATTCATTTCCTATTCGTTTTCCACACAAAACGAATTAACGTGGATATAATCTGCACGAGTGGGGGGGGGGGGTGGCGAATGCGCGCGCACATATATCCAGTGACCCCTTAACACGCGCACACAAAGCATGGATATGTGTGCAAGGTGAATAAAAATGATTTATTTCACCATGCCACAAATGATAGCTCAACGAAGTGGCTTTTCACATTGGACATTTACAGCAGCCGAATACCCCAAAACGAATGTTGCCTGTAAATGTGGAGGGAAATACAGGAGGACCCGGAGAAAAAATCCACGCGACCACGAGGAGAGAGACATGCAAACTCCAAATATAGGGTGCTTCAAAAATGTGTTAACACTTCGGAGAATTTGCAACAATACCGCAAGAAATGTGCTGCTGCCTCCGGGCTCTGGAGACCACCTGGAGAAGATTCCAGACACGTGTTGACAATGGTGGCGAACAAGTGGTGGCATTTTGAAGCTATTAACATACATTTATTATCATGCTACAGTGTATCATCCGTTCTTTTTCCAATAAACACGATAGTCTCATATAAGTGTTAACATTGTTTTTTCAGCACCCTGTATGCAGCAGCAGGCATCAAGGGTCGGGATCGAACCCACGTTCATCCTCTGCACACCAGGGAGGCAATGGCCCTTCTTCATAGCATATATTGTATTTAATTTAAGGCAGTGTTATTGACGAATGTGGATGTTTTTATTATTTGTGCGTATGCACCACTCCCACCAACACAGAAATCACCAAATGTTGTCCAAACCATATTGGGCTACTTCAGCTTCATACTACTGCGTCTTCATCATCATCTGATTCATATACAGTACAGAATACTTTATAATTGAAAACAGAACATCTGCTATGTGTAAATTCTCCGTGTGTGGAGTATGGTAGCCTATCTATAAATAGTGATCCATTTATAGAAAAACCAGGCTGCTTAAATAATATGGAGACATCACGCAATCACTTTCGTGATTGACAGCTGTTCTGCACGGAAATGTGTACACACAACGCACCCTCCGCACTTGTTTTTTTGCAGAGGTTTAACATTAAAACAAATCTAACCTGTCACCGAATTTACAAGACAATTCGTGAAAATGTAACAATTTTCAATGGCGTACGTTCAAATTCAAACTCGAATTAACGATGAGTGTGCGTCTTTGTCTTTGTATGGGGAGCGGTTTCGCAGTGGTTAGCGCTACGAACGATTGTCTGGGCCAGCCCTAGGTCGACTCAGCCTTAAATGAGTACCTGGTGCAGTGTGTAGTAAACATCGCCACAGGGTGAGACAAAGGCGGCCGGGCGTGGTGCTGGCCACCCACTCCCGGCCTTCATAGGTGCCACTCGCTAACAACAATTGCCCCCAACAGTATGTTACAGGCTACACGGGGGGGGGGGGTCTTTGATGTGTGCACGGAGCCCGCATGCCCAGCCACCTATGCCCAATCAGCTTCTGTTTGGCCTGCTAGAAGGGGCTCAACAGGCGCCGATCGTGCTAGAGAAGAGATGGGCTGATGTGGTTAATGAAGGATGTGGATTTGATTGACCGATAACAGTGCCGGCAGTGTCAAGATCTGGGATCTCTGGAGGAGGTTCGTGAATTGACGCTGCTGGGAAGTTGGAGGCAGTGGCCCTCCCGCGGCAAAGGAGGGCGAGACGCTCAACAACAACGAGCGGAGCTCCGGACGACTAAAACGCACAGTGGGGAGCATGCTCGGTGCATCTGCCAGTCAGTCATCCAAGTCAGCCAACCCACTCGGCACCTGGAGTCTGTTCCGTGACCCCCTGCCAGCGGGGCCCTTCGACACTTCACGTGGCCTCACAAAGTGCACCGAGGCATGGCACAAGCGCCTCGGTCATGTCACCGCCGCTTAGCGGTGAGCGGTGGTTGTTGTTGTGGCTGTTGTTGTGGTTGTTTTATAGTCCAGGAGTGGGGAACCTTTTTTCTGTCAAGGGCCATTTGGATATTTATAACATCATTCGCGGGCCATGCAAAATTATCAACTTAAAAATTAGCCTGTTTTATTTGGTCAAACATTTAATTAACTCAACCCTAATGTGATGGCGGGAACTGCTTCTCTTTGGTTAGGCGTGTGGTGATGTTAGCTGGTATTGACGATGTTAGCTGGTGTGTGATGTTTGCTGGTATTGATGATGTTAGCTGGTATTGATGATGTTAGCTGGTGTGTGATATTAGCTGGTATTGATGATGTTAGCTGGTATTGATGATGTTAGCTGGTATTGATGATGTTAGCTGGTGTGTGATGTTAGCTGGTATTGGTGATGTTAGCTGGTGTGTGATGTTAGCTGGTATTGATGATGTTAGTTGGTGTGTGATGTTAGCTGGTATTGGTGATGTTAGCTGGTATTGATAATGTTAGCTGGTATTGATGATGTTAGCTGGTGTGTGATGTTAGCTGGTATTGATGATGTTAGTTGGTGTGTGATGTTAGCTGGTATTGGTGATGTTAGCTGGTATTGATGATGTTAGCTGGTATTGATGATGTTAGCTGTTATTGATGATGTTAACTGGTGTGTGATGTTAGCTGGTGTGTGATGTTAGCTGGTATTGATGATGTTAGCTGGTATTGATGATGTTAGCTGGTGTGTGATGTTAGCTGGTATTGATGATGTTAGCTGGTATTGATGATGTTAGCTGGTATTGATGATGTTAGCTGGTGTGTGATGTTAGCTGGTATTGATGATG